TCGTGATAAAATCGGGAATCGTGATTTAAAAAAAAAAAATTGTGATATGATATTTTTGCCATATTGCCCACCCCTAGCTGCCAATAGCCGCTCGCATATATATAAAAACATATTAAATACATTTATTTACATTTACATTATAATATTAACATGCTATATATATATATATATATATATATAGCATGTTAATAGATTATAATAGTCCTCATAATAATAATTTATTATGAGGATAGAATGTTCCTGGTAACATAAGTATATTGAGTTAATATCAACGTTTTGAGGTATAATATGTTGCATTTGCTGCAGACCTGCAAATAGGAATGTGAAATATCAAACAAAAACAGCTTAATCATTCCTTACTTTTCTTGCAAAAAATATTTTGAATTGTTAGCCAAAAGTCACAACAAGAACTCTGTGGTGTGATGCAATCTGATGACAAATATCAACCCACCTGGTGACTGCGGATTGGTTAAGGATCACAGGGTTATGATTGACACAGGAAATAGAGGCTGTGTAGGACCCATGAGGTCTGAGAGCAGTAATTTCTGATGAGATCAGACAGGCCGCTCTCCCACTCCACTGCATCAGATGGTCAGCTGTTTCTATGCGGGATTAAAGAGAATACAAGCTATGAATGAATGACATATTCTGGCCCACGACATTCTACACCAGTTACCAGTCTGATGTCAAGTCAAGTCAAGTCACCTTTATTTATATAGCGCTTTTGTGGAATGACATGCAACACATTATGAATGCTTTCACAAATTCATGAATACGAATGACATCATTAATAAAGTTCATTCTTTGAGTGCAAAAATGCATCCCAAAACAAGACTATGACTGATCAGAAAAAAGCACATAAGCAAAGATTCAGACTACAAGTGGTGCTGCTATCTCACCAACTGGGAAATGATCTTCAGTACTTAACATAGCATAAAGCATTAATCAGGCTGTAGACTGCTGTGTACTAGTCTATCTAAACTGTTCTTCTGCCAGCATGACATAACAGAGAGCTGAAAATAAGATGATACTGTGCTGTCAGAAGAGCTCAAAGGATCAGAGATTCAACAGGAGCACAGTACAAAAATATCACACTGAAATACATCCGAATGCATCTCACCTCCCTGCCAGTGCTTTGCAGGTGAATATACCAGCTGTTCTCGGTTCCTCTACTGCAAACAAACACATGCCAGTCAGAACATGCTTTTATGGTAAACATAAACTGTGTTTTTCTTCATGCTGGGTTTTCCCAAAGGGAATGATTTGACATCAGGCAGTGATTATCACACTTACAACTAATGCAAATGAAAGGATGAAAGGACAGAGTTTGAAAAATGTAGATTGATATTGTGCTTAATTTGTGGTAAAAACCATCTGACTAAATAAATATATATGGGCATGAAATACTTATTGAGTTATTGAATATGATCTTGTATCTTAACCCCGTAAAGCCTTACATATGAAATATCCATAAGAAAAAACTTTTGGTCCCACTTTATATTAAGTGGCCTTAACTACTATGTACTTATTTTTAAATTAATCATTTGGTACAATGCACTTAATGTGTACATACATGTTTTTACATTGTACTTATATTTTAAAAATACCTGCATGTAATTACATCTGTAATTAATTTCTGTAATTACATGTATAATTACACTGTTGACCCATCCCTTACACCTTAACCCACCCTTAATCTATATCCAAAACACCAAACCTGTCCCTAACCTTACCCATATCCCACCTCAATAGCAGCAAATGTGTTTTGCAATACAATATGAACACAATAAGTACACTGTACTTATTTTTTGATGTAAGTACATAGTAGTTAAGGCCACTTAATATAAAGTGGGACCCAAACTTTATTTTTATTTTTTTTTGTTTATTGAACATTTAGACAAAATCTTAAAGGCAGTCTTTCCTCTAAAGCCTGATCTATCATATTTGATATTTACATTTTAACACGATTTTTCTAAAATAATAATAAAATAAAATAAAAAATTATTGATAATCAAGTAAACCTAAGTTGCTTCAGTCCAGTAAGTGTTCATCTTGAAATATTACTAACAATATAAAATTATTCTCACGTTTACTTTATAAAAATCAGTAAAGATTTCACAGAAAAAGACATGTACCACAACCAAGGTGGATATTTTCTACAATTACACTAATATAAAGAATAGTCCAATATATAGAGACTATACTGATATATAGTACAAATCATTAAGATGGCAGAAGGCATGTATAGAAGATTGTGTACAACAGGTTTTTTAGCAAAATTGTGATCATTTTAATAATTTCGAGGTCTTAATATAATTTATAAGCTTAAAGCTTACATAAAAAAAGTTAACTACAATGAACAGAACAATCAACCTAGCAACAAGACAAACTGTACAACAGGTGAAGTCATCTGAGGTCATTTTTACTACAATCGAGAAACAAGACAGTACAAGAGAGTGAACAGGAGGGAGCGATTCTGCTGTGTGATACAGGAAACATGAAAGTAGCACCAGTTTTACTTACCCACATGAGTGGACTAATATACAGCATTGCAAATATTAGTAAATATCTGACTGCTGAATGCAGTGATTGACCAATCAAAATCAAGTATTCCAAAGAGGTGCCTAATAATAATAAAAAATAAATAAAAAATACAGAAAGAGTGAGAGATATGATTTAAATGAAATAAATTCAATGAATGTTTACAAAGAATGAATGAATTCTGGAAATCTCCAAAACCTTTTTTCCATAGTTCTGTATGTGCAGATTCCATGTGGATCTGCTCATTAGTAAAATGCAGTACAAAAAAAAAAGACATCAATACCACTTTCAGCATATCATGTGTTACTGTTGTTCAGCCATTTGACACTAATTTATTAAAGACAAGAATTAGTTTTAGCTAAATATGTCCTCACATATTACACTACCTGCCTTAGAAACTATAAAATGTCTGGCACTAAAAAGCTTCTTATCTCAACATCCCAAAAATTATAATAGAAGAGTAGATCATCTCATCCCCCTACTCTTACGTAGGCATATGGCCTCTTGTCTGGTCAAGGTTGAGTCAGCCTAACAGATTTGAACAGACAGGAAGTCTGTGGTCAGAGAGCAGGAAGCCATGTTATGAAGCACAGGCCGAGTGCTGGTTGCTGGGCTTGGAGTGCCTGGCCCAGGAGACCCCATGTTTGTTGTCACAGCTGAGCTGCACACTGTTGAGGCAGTCAAGCACAGACATGAAGCCAAAGACCCCGAGGACCACCACACCACAGAGAAAATGCCTTCTTAGGTTCACAGTAACTCATTCTCTTTGTGTAAACCCCCACCACAAGCAGTCTAAATCTAGTCCGACCTCTTGGTAGGATGTTTTCACTCCAGGCTGAGAAAGAGCAGCTGATGTCTGCTCCAAAGATGGAGTTTGGGAAGCATGGTTTACGGAACGGGGTCAGTGCTAAGAACAAGGGCTCTTGTGTGTTATAAATAGCCATTTATCACTGCAGACAATCGCTGGACTGGAACCATAGCATATATAGCTGCGCTGACATCTGTTTTATTTTTTCTTTCTTCTGCAAACACAATTCTTGAGCCACAGAATATGAAATGTACACTCTTAAAAGGTTCTTTATTGCCATCTATGAATCCATGCAAAATCTATAATATCCTGGAATCTTGCACTTGCACAAAAGATTTATTACATTGGAAAAAGGTTCTTTAGATTATTAAAATATTCTTCACACTAGGAAAATAACGGTTCTTTTAAGAACTGTTCACTGAAAGGTTCTTTGGGGAACCCTTGATTTAAGAGCGCAAATGCCTGTTTACACCAAGGATGATAACTATAACAATAAAGATATCATTTTAAAAATGGTATAATAGTAAAAGAAATAATAGCAGAGTCCACATCACCATAGCAATAATGGCACAGAGGAACACCACATTGTTGGAATCGCAGTGATTTTTTCCAGCTGATGAACGATAAAAACATTGACAGCCAATCAGAATCCATTGTGCTTTAAAGAGCTTAAGTATTTAAAGTGCCAGATGACATAATTGCAGTCCATACTTATAATAAACAGAATGTTATTGTGCATTGGTGTGAACACTAATATGGTTAACTTATTGTACAGTGTTAGCAGTGTATAAACTAAAGACTAAATAAGTAAAAGGAATTATCATTGATAGTACTAGCAACAACAAGGTGAAGTGTTAAAATAGTGAATGCAATGCCGCATTGGATGAAATATCTTCCAACTGCTTATATAAAAGTATATACATGAAACTCAAACATTTTCTTGCATAGAAGCAGCATGCATAAGACTGCAATGTGTGAGCTTGAGTGTGGAAGGGAGCTGAAACTTTGCAAGTAGCATGGATTTATGGTTGTTAACAAATGGCAGATTTCCTCCTATTGTTAGAGGGTGTTGATACTGTCCAGGGAGAGGAGGGAGCAAGAGCGAGGGGGAGTGGGAACAGAGAGGGTGGGGAGAAAGGCATGCTGGTGAGGATATCGGCTGCTTTGGAGAGGGAGAGGGAGAGGGAGAGGGAGAGGGAGGGAGAGAGAGAGAGAGAGAGAGAGAGAGAGAGAGGTGGGGGGGCCAAGCTGGGTTTTTTGAGCCTGTGCCAGTTCTCATCTCTCTGCAGTTGTATTGCTTTGAGACAATGCTCAGCAAAGCAGCTGTGTGACTTTAGCCCCCTCTGCCTCACCAAACCAAACCGGAATTAGCAAATCAAATGACGTCCTTGTAATACAGAATGCAAAATCATCCTCAATTTGCAGAGTGCATTCAAATGCATGTCATGCACTGCCAACAACACAAGGACATTCAAGGGTAGATGCCAGATATGATTCACAGTTCTTCAATGCTAAACCAAGGAAGATGTTTAATCAGTATTGTCTTGAAAAATATTGCAGCAGAGAGAGGTGGGGAGTTTCCAGAATTGTTTAAGGCTACTTTTAAAAACTGCCATCCAGAGGAAAACTTTCAGTACCTCTGGAAGGCAAGATGGCCCAAACTCTGCCTCTGCTGCTGTTGGCCATGCTGAACTCTCTGAGCTGCCACAGTGAGGTGAGGGCCAGGGACCCTGACATGGAGGAAGAAGAGGCTGTGGGGATTGGAGGAAGGGCACAGCATATTTCTGGCACCTTTGGGACCGCTCACCTACCCTTGCCCCATGAAAATCACGGCATCCCAAAGCCTTCAGATGGCAACCCTCAAAACTCAGTGTCCCCCTCAAGAGAGACTGTACATCCATCTGCACAGAGAGGGTGAGTAAAACTGACATATTTCAAACCGTATATATTTACAACTATATATACAATTGTGTGTGAATCAGGTCTGAATATTTAATATGTGCATAAATGATAAAAATGTTGTGTAAAATATATATGTTATTTATATAAATATATATGTATTTTTATATGTGTTAATATATTTGTCTTTTCAAGTTATATTAAATCTTAGATCACCTCTAATTTTCAAAACCCTTGTATGCTGGAGTTTTACACTAGTAGTCAGAAGCCTGGAACATCAGTTTTTCTTCTTATTATTATTATTGTTGTTATTACTAATATTATTTACCACTTTGTGAAATAATACTAAAATCAAAATGATGAAATAACGCAAATGAAAGAATTATGTAGTGACCAAAAATGGCTATAAATCAAAACAATTTTATTTGTTAATGTTTTCCAAATCAAAGTAGCCAGTCTCTAATCATTCTCTCAACTTAATGAGGTGCATCATGGGATGCTTTTCCTTTTGCTGCTGCTGTCCGCTGTCTGGCCCAACCCATTCATAAAATAAAAAAAATAAAAAAAAAATAATTTTATTAAAATAATTTATAAAAGTATATAAATAATGGTACGTTTTTAAGAAATTTTTGCATGTAAAATACAAAACTAATAATATGTAACAAACCTTTTTAAGACCATGAAATACTAATTCAAGTCCAAACTTTTGAGTGGTATTATATGTACTCTAATTTATTTGTTTATTTTTAGGCTAAATGATCAACACTATAGTACATAACAGAACAAACCATTGAATGGCCTGTACATGTATCCCACACACCCGTTTTCATCAGTATCATATTAAATATGCAGTTACCCTGACTAAAGTCCATTGTATTCTCCCTTTGTTCTGAAATGAATTTGCCCGGGAGGCTTGATTACAGTAATCTTACAATGAAAATACAAGTTAGGGCTTCAGTGATCTAATCTAAAACAATTGCTGGGAAAGTATTATGGAGTGACTGAGTTCCAACTCAGTGTGAAATTCAATTCATACTGTGACGAGAGGATATATTTAGGAAGGGTCTTGTGATGCAAATGTTTAGCCGTCCACTTCTAATCAGTTCTCTCTCAGATGTGTGTTTCTGCCCTGGTAACACACACAGTAACTTTCTTTGGGAGCTCTAACACTTTAATCAGACTAAATAAGCTCTTTTTGCACTACAAATCATTATATCTGCACTGTTGTTTACTTCACTGGTTTGCACTCTATCTGCCGTGTGCTGCTTTATATATATATTTTTTTATAT